GGTGAGTAGCCAACCTCCGTGATTTGGTTTCATTGCCCCCAAATGGGAGGTTTTTATTGTTTCCGTGGGTGGGTTCACTAGGTAAAATTAAAGAGCCAAACTTACTTCATTTTTTTTTAATGCCCACACTTTCTTTTTAGCAGAGGGAATGGGGAGGAGGGTAGTCTGCCAAGCCATGTAAAATTGTAAGTTGTTAGAATGGTAAATAGTCAATTTGTCTAATTCCACGAATGTCACCCTCAAAGTAAAATCCATGCCAGGGTCAGGTCATTTGGCTCTCTCCCCTCATTCCTGATATTTTCGACAACAGGAAACTCCAGCTCCCAAGAGGGAAAGTGTGTTGCTTCAAGTCCCCGGACTGGAATGTGGGTATTCCAAAGCCCAACCCCGTTCTCTGTCTTTGCCCATCTCCACCTGGGGACAGGATTAAGGAGAGGGTATTCAGATGAGGGTGGGGAAGGCGCTAAAGGGGCTGTCAAGACCCACACGTGGTATATCCACTGTTTCCCCTTCCTCAGGGCCCCTAGGAACCTCTGGATATGAGGGGCCCATGACACTCACAGGAGAGGCCAACTTCTAACTGGAGGGTGTGGGGAGGGAAGGAATCCTCTGGGTCTCATATCATCTCAGCCACAAAGCTAGGGGTTCAATATGGCTTGTAGATTCCCTGTCATGGGCTCTGTATGTCCCCCACCACTCCAGAGCTCCATAACAAGAAAACAAACAGCTGTGGGAACAGGTGCCAAGGAAGCCATAGTGTTGGAAGGGAGCCCAACCTTAGAGAACTGGTAGGGGCACCGGAAGGAAGCACAGTGATGTTCTACTAAGCATCTGGCAATGTAATCCTGGGTAAGCAAAAGTGCAAGGTGAGGCAGCCTGGATTTTGAGGTCTTGCCCCACTCCTCACTAGCTGTGCAATCTTAGGCAAGTGAGTAAACCGCTCTGTGCTCCAGATTCCATCCCTATAAAACAGGCACAGTAACATCCTTGGGGCATGTTGTGAGGACCGCCTGGTGAGTGGTGAAACACTCAGCCCTGTGCTTGGCACAAGGTGGGTGCCCCATCAGTGTCCACTGTTTTCACTCTGCCAGAGCCTCCTATGTATGTAGTGTGGGAATAAAAGAAAACCTGGTTGAAAAGCTGTCTACACAATTTCTCTGGTGTGGAAAGAACTGTCACTTATATGTTGGGATATTGGGAAAGCCTGTGGCTGATACCAAGGTATCCAAAAACATTCTATAAAATAAAGGCAGAGTTTGTGAGGAGAAAAGGGGAGGGTGGAAGTGAAAACAGGAGGAAAAAACAGAAGGAAAGAAAGTTAGTACACAGGTGGTGGAGGGCTGAACCCCAGGGCGGGAAGCTGTCCCTTGAGAAATTCCCAGTGGCTGGAGTGGCAGAGGTCTTACGAGAACAGAGGGACCTAGTACTCAATGTGCATCATCTCTGTGATGGAAAGCACTGCCCCACCAACTTCTCTGTGTACCCTAAATGGTGTGGCAAACATAGTTATCCACAGAGGTGGGGTGCTGTTGGAACTGAAGGCAAAGGTGCCTGTGTTGTGATTTGGGCAAATATGCCACATTACATGAGCATGTGTGAGATTCAAAATGTGGCAGGAGCAGAAAATTGGAACAAGAAATGAGGAGAAAAAGCCCAGAAGCCCAGGGCTCTCCCTAGAGCCCTACCTTGGTTCCTCACCCTAGTGAGATGGGACAGAGTAATTTTATTTGGGGATGAAAGAACAGAGTGGACTCTGTGTCCAAAGGACATAGGCCCAGCCAGGGGACAGACAAGGGTCGTGTTTGCTGTCCCATGTCACACTCTTGGTGGCTCTGTGTGTGGCTTCTTATTAACTATTTTCTAGGTGAGAGGAGAAGGATGTGGGGCAAGTTTCTCCTCCCTGTGCTATTCCTGGCCCACAGGAATGGGGCTTCCTGCTGAACCCCCAGAATGGTCCACTGTGTCCTAAGCACAGTGGAATCAGTGTGAGCTGGAACGCTGCTAGTGACCAATCTCCTGACTGGAATGGGAAGCTTGTGTTGGGACTCAGAAATCCCTTCATTACAAAGAGGCTTGATTTCCTGTGGTTAATCTGCAGCTAAGTGTCACTGTGTGTTAAGGTACCTTAGCCCTGCTTCCTAGGCTCTGGGCTGCTGCTGGTTTCCTGCTCATGATGTATGATTTGCATTAGCCGGCAGGGGGCATTCTGGAAAGTGTCTAGCTTCTGCCGTTGTCCACCCCAGTGACAAACCACATGCTACCTCTGGAGCTTCCTTCTAGGGGTTTCTGGGAGATGGCTCCCCCCTGCTGGATGTCTTGCAATGGCTTTTCAAAAGGAGAAAAGTGCTGCTTGTATCTGTTTAAGAGGGGCTTATTGGGGAAAGGAGGTTGTGGCTACAGATTTCCTCAAGATTATTGTTAGACTTTTTTCTTCTTCTATATTTACATACTGAATCAAAGCATGATGAAGTGTCAAAGCTGGAACGACCTGTTCATTTCATTTTAGCACATAGATACACAGAGATACATACATTTTAGCACACAGATGCCCAGAGATACACAGAGTGCTGGGATGAAAATCAGTTCTGGAGCCCAAGTAATATGCTTTCCACCTCACCCTACTACTGTGTCTACAGTTTGCCAAGTGAAGAGAAATGTAGATGTGCATTATAAATAGGAGACAGCCAGGGACTACACATAGCTGGTCACTAACATTTCATGGCCAAAGCACATCATACAGGGAACACAGAAGAGTCCTGGATTCTGATCCCTGCTCTGCCATCAGCTCCTTGGATGACCTTAAGTGAGTCACCTTGATGGCTTGGACCTCAGATTCTCACCTGCAATATAGAAATAACAACCCCCGTGTGGTTTGCTCACAGGAGTGAGGCTAAATCAATCCAGGGGAGGCATGGGAAGATCTTTAACAAAAGTTTCATAGCCCTGGTGGGGATTATTATTATCATTTCTAAAATCTGGGTGCAGAAATATGGAATTGTCAGCTGAGGGTGCTTCTGGATTAGTGTATATTCTGACACAGTGATGGCCAAGATAAGGGATTTGATAAGTGACCTAGTTCATGGCTCCCACAATTTTGTGTTTCATAGACCAAAGAATATTACCCCCAAATGAAAATTCAGTGACCAATGTAGAGTAGACAGCTTTTGATTTTGTCTATTGTGCCCACTAAAACAAAACAAAATAACTCAACTTGCATCCATATCAGCTTCGTATTGTATAAGAAAGAACATTTTAATGCTTTAGGGAAGGATGTACTCTTAGAGAAAATAGTGCCCCTTACATTAAAAATAGTTGGCTATGAGAAAAAGGGGCTACCTTGTCCTTCTTCTTCCTATTTCACTCTGGACTGGTGAAAAACATCATAGGGACAAAACCAGCAGTTAGAGCCCCCTGTGCTTGGCAAACCCATGATGGGCAGTGCTCTACAGGTGCAGAAACCAAGATCCAGAATGGTTGAGGTCCCATTGCCTAATCAATACTATCCTCATCATTGAAGTATGTTCCTGTTACAGATGACTTCTCTCTCTCAAGAAATGAGAAGTTCTGGTCTTCCTTAGAGGATCCGGGTAGATGTGGTTGTGGGGTGGTGGGAGCAGAGAAGGAAAAATGACACTGAGTCAGTGTGCCTGTTTTTTTTGTTTTGTTTTGTTTTGTTTTTTTTTTTTGGCAAGGCTCCATGAGAGCATGCATTACATGTTCTGATGCTAAAGCCTGTGCTGTTTCCGTAACAGGGTCTGTGGGTCAAATCTAGCCTAGCACCTCATTCTGTAAATAAAGTTTTATGGCCCCACAACTCTCTGCTCATTTGTACAGTCTATGGCTGCTTCTGCACTACAGAGGCAATAGGCAAGTTGTGGTCACTTGCGAAGTAAGTAATTCCAGCTAAGGTTAACTTATTGTTGACAAAGCTATAATTATTAGTCTTCCTTGAAAGGTCCAGAATGCTTGTCTGTTTGGGGCACTTGCTTCTATTGTCTAAATTTCTCTGTGACAGATAGAAGGAAGGGCATGACTGAGGCATCCTAAACCAAACTCCTAGTGAGATGGTGTTGGGATTTGGGGCTGTGTTCACACACTTGTGTTCTCTCATCCCACGGATGCTCTGGTGTCTCTAGCTGGGTGCCTATGTTGTCCCACCCTTTCTCTTTTACCTTTTTTTCTGATCTGTCTGGTTATCCAGCTGTAATTACTATCTAGGTTCTAGAGTTTACAGAACTGAGATGGGTTCATGTTCTGGGGTGGATAAAACATTGAATGAAAGATGAGGACATCGGGGTTCTGGGTTTGGCTCCAAATGACCTTGGATATGACACTTCACTGGGTCTTACTTTTCCTCTTCTGTGCAAGCAAAATGTTTGCCTGATGATCTCAAAGCTTTTCATCCTCAGTGTTAAGCTAACTCTGGGACTCATAGAGACAATGCATTGATTAGTGACTTCAATGATAGGAAACATATGGGGTGAGGAGAAAGTCTATTTTTACAATCCTACCTTCATTATGCATTTTGGCTACTACCAGTTATTTAATGATTACTATATGCCAGTAGCCACCACAAGCAATTTATGGATGAGATCTGATTGGCTTCTCTAATACTTTCATGAGGTAGATATTATTATTCCCATTTTATAGATGAAAAGCTAAGGTTCCCAGTGAGACGTAGAGCCAAGATCCATACCCACACTTGTCTGACTCCAGATACCAAGCTCTTAACACAACACTGCTTTGCATTCTTATCCATGTACACATGATAGTCTAGGTCACTGGTAGAACTTTCATTAGTGGGAGAGCTGTAGGCACCAGACTGCCAAACAGAGGCTGCTAGGATGAATCCAGATGCACCAGCTCAGATCTGAGCAGCCTCCACCTTTGCCTCCACCCACTTTTCTGTTGGGCAATATTATGATGCTTCTGGTTGTTACTCCACTATGATGTCACATGGATGATTCACTACATATTTACTCCTAATTCCAAGGTCTTACCTCCTTTAAGGGGGAATTTTCCAGGTGGGTTGGGAATGGAATCCTGGAAGAGAAGAAAGAAAAAGAGAGGCAGTGTGAGATTGTCATTCAATGGAAAGAACTTACCTTTTTCTTTCCCGTTCTGGTCCTCAAAGTGCTGTGCAATTTAGAATTTGTGTTCCACTTGACTCTTGAGTTAAAAAAAATGAATTCACAGGCCTAATTTACATTGAAAACTCACCCATTTGCTTGATAGCTTGCCTACTAGAAACGCAAGGTGAGGCCAGGGTTTACTGTCCACATTTCACAGGTGAGGAAGTTGGGGCTGAGCAGGGTAAAATGAAAAGTTTATGGCAGGTCAGGATCCAGAATCTGTAACTCATCACCCTGTCCAGGGCTTTTGTTTTCACCTCTGCATTTGATATTTTCCCCCCTTTGGTCAACAAAAGAACAAGCAAGTCTAATGTATAAATACATGTGGGTTTTTTTCCGTATTTGATTCATCAAATAGTGAAAGTATGCTGTAAACATACCTTGGAAGGTACATCTCTATATTTCCTGTGGTTGGAAATTCTGAATTAATTGAATGTTTATATGCCAAGCATTGTGATGATACCATAAATAATTAAATTGGTTCCCTGCCCTCATGACTTTATTATAAATTTATAGATGATTATAATATCCAAATATTTATAATGATAGAACAAAGCAAACACATAGGAAAATTATATATTTATAAATTCACATTATATTTTGGATTATTTATTGTATAATAAACATAAATATATACATAAATATTTATACAGGTAAGTAAGAGGTTGATAGAAGCAGGTTGTGTTCTGAAGGAGGGGTCCTCCAACCTGGGGGAATGGAGGGAATGATAGGGAGTTCTTGTTGGGGTGCTCTGAGCAAGCAGAGAACAGAAGCAGAGGGGCAAAATTTTTCACCCCTAATAAATTTCTTAGAAACTGACATTCCCACCCTAGGCTCTCTCCCCGCCCCTTTCACCCATGGAGCCACACCTCAGGTGTCTTGCCAAGAAGGTATAAGGTATCTTATTTCTCTTTTGAACTGTCAGAGTGGGGGTCTCCTGTAGTGCACTGGGCTGAAATATTAATACAGACCTACAGAAGCATGACATTGACCTGGGTGAAAATAACCCCAATCTTGTCCAGAGCAAGAAGTTAGCAGCTGTGCACATCTTACTTCCTTAGTGTTCTGTCTGAACAACTAAGACTATCTGGAGTTTTCCTTTTATTCCATCATTTCCCTGGAGGTTCTGTCCTTTGCCTTCCACTGATGGCTCATTTTCTGATAAATGGATCTCTTCTCCATTCCAAGTGGGTTGTAGTGAGTGGAGGAAGACTCCTGAAGGCAAAGCCCTGGCATAGCCCTCATTTGGAGACGGCAGAAGTCAATGTAAACTTTTGGGCTTCAGCTTTTCAGGGCAAAGGAAGTGAACTTGGCTTGGAATAGCCTTCCTTCTCAGCTCTAATAGTCTATTATTTTAGTGCTTTAGTTGAAAGCTCTTAACCTAAGTAACAATAGTACATTTGTGGTCTCTCATAAATTATGCGTGCAGTTCATAGGAAAACCTGACATCACAAAATTCCCCTCTGTTGCCTCTGCAAGGTTGTAAATAACATTTCGAAATCTAATGAGCAGCCAATTTACTACCAAGCATGTTCATCAATTAGTGTGATGTGCAAATGCACAAAGAAGAACATCTACATTGAAATGCAATGCTAAGATAGTTGAATTTCTTGGCCATCCAGGAAAGTATCCAGGGACAGTGAGAGAAGGCTGGCATAGTAGAACCACTGGGGCCATTTCCAGACTCTGTGAGTAGTCCGGGAAATACCAGAGAGTCATACATTCAGCACATGTTGAATGAACACCTGATCTGGTGTGTGCCAGGAACTACGTTAGTCACTGGAAGACATCCTGTGGATTTTATGGCTTAGTCATTAAAGCAGTCACTTAAAATATCCAAATAAATATATAATTGAACTGCAAGTTGAGGCAAGGGCTGTGAAGGAAGAGTGTTTCAAGTTAACCCTTCTCAAACTTTAATGAGTATGCGAATCACCTGGAGAGCTGGTTAAAATGCAGATTCTGATACAGTGGGTTTGGCTGTAGTCTGTAGTTCTGACAAACTCCCAGGTGATGCTGAGGCTCCTGATCCACCGAACACACTTCACGTACATAACAAGGTTGTAAGAGATAATATCTGGGGGGAGGACCTCATTCATATGAGGGTCAGAGGAGGCCTCTGTCTGTCATTTGAGGGCTTTCTGGTTTCCTAACTTTATGCAGGAGAATGTCAAAAATAGCACATCTTTGTATAAGAAAGAATCTTGTTGCTTAAACCTTCACCCAGGGCCGAGGGCATCCAAGACAGCAGTATGATTATTCCTATTTTGGAGAGCTCCTGGGATGAGGTCTCTAAAGCTCTCCTGGCTGCCCATGGTAGAAAATATCAGAGAAGCAGAGCCAGAAGAAAACCCAGACATCTTTCAGCCCATCAAGTTAATTTAATAGAACAAGAAATTGAAATACTCATGAGTCAGAGGCAGATCTTGGGTTGAAATTTTCTGGTGTTCTTTCCACTGCCCCGAGAGAGATGCTAGCTTCAGAAGCTAAGGATGGAGATGCTCATTCTCCCCTACACTCCCCTCCCTTTAGCAATCCTTGCCGTAGAACAGCAAGGTGTAAAGAGATGGTGACTTTTATAATTTGCTGAGAGTTGTTTATGCCCTTGGCATGATCTAGTGCTGTCCACCAACTCCTCTTTGGCAAAGATGACTCTCAGTCCTAGAATTCTCCCCCAAATCTTGTCTGGTGTTCTGGGTCCTGGCTGGGGAAATGTGGCCCATCTTGCCCAGCGACTTGCCTTTCAGGTCAATAGCACATAGGCTGGACATAGACATAAGCTAATGGACCCTCCCAGGCTGTCATTCTCAGCTCCATTGAGTAGCTCAGGAAACTTCATCTCCATGGTTACCAACCAGTTACACTTCTTTCGCTGTACTTCTTTGTTTCTTTTAATGTTTATTTATTTTTGAAGGAGAGAGAGACAGAGCGTGAGCAGGGGGGGAGCAGAGAGAGAGGGAGACACAGAATCCGAAGCAGGCTCCAGGCTCTGAGCTGTCATCACAGAGCCCAATGCAGGGCTCAAACCCACAAGCTGTGAGATCATGACCTGAGCCAAAATCGGACGCTCAACCGACTGAGCCACCCAGGCACCCCTCTTTCATTGTACTTCTTTAGTTTCAGACTCCAGGTATCTGATTAGTATTTCCAACAATGTTTCTGTGGATGGAGGGAGGAACGGTCATGTTTAATCTGCTTGTCCCCAGGTGAAATGACCCAATCTCAATCATGTTCCCTGCCTATGACTCTTTTTCCCTGTTTCCTTTTATTATTGTGATTAGAGGGCTAATCACCCTTTCCTTTACTGGGTTGTTGCAGACACAATAAGACACTGTATAAAAAAATGTTGGCAAGTACTCGAAAATGATAGCTATTTTGGATCTTTTGATCCTGATGATGTGCTTAATTTGCCCCAATACCTTGAAAGGCTCATTTCTTTCATGAATAATGCTGCACAGAGGCAGGCAGATACCAAATGTGCTTTTGATTAAAGATGTCCTCTCTGATTAAAAATGGCCCAAGGCAACTAATATTTGGAATATGCTGGGGAGATTCCATATCCCCTTCTTTACTGGCCTCACATTGTCTTGTAAGATGGGCCCTGGAGATTTTTTTTCAGGAATGTCTCCTTTACTTTCAAGCTAGCATGAGTAAGCACTTCATGAAGGTGTTTGGTCCTCCAGGGCTAATGCTTTCCATGTGTTTTTTCATTTGGTCTTTACCCAAGAGTTAGTGATTGATGAAGTCTTAGAGAAGTGACTTAATGATTTCGGAAGGTTCTACAAATGGTGAAGAGCAGGGAAAAGAGTCAAATCAAGTGTATTGACTCGGAAGGCAATGCTCTTTAATACCATACTATGCTGCCTTTCTAGAATAGGACAGGATGAAGCCAGGGCAGCAAATTCTCCTGAGAGTCAATGAGAAAGTAGATGGAGGTCACAGAAAGTCCTCAGGAGAAAGACAATTTTGGGAAGCAGTGTTTGTTTTGGTATGGGTAGTATAAGTGGGAACTGGACCAGAGTGGCTTAAAGCAGTGTTTTTTTGCCTGAGGGATCTTGTTAAAATGCTGATTCTGGTCCTGGGATGGACCCTTAGGTTTTTCATTTTTAATAAGCTTTTAGATGATGCCAGTGCTCCTGGGCTGTGGACCACACTTTGAGTAGCAAGGGCTTAAAGACATTACTCAACAGGCAATAAGAACACCTGAGGTCTTCCTTCCCCAAGGAATGGAGAATGGCCACGGGAAGCTGGGCTCATACATGGGTTTAGGAAATCTTCCTTGTCTGCTGATGGACGTAGCATCCTACTCTCTTACCTACTTCTATCCATGCTTCTTGCCAGCGACCTCTTTTTCCTGCTGTTCTCCTGTGCAGTGTGGGCTGACTTCTGTTCTGGCCCTGCCACTCCTCTCCTGAAACCTGGGCTTGCCTTCCTCTGGGCTGTGCCTCTGCTCATTCTTTTGCCTCACCTGGAAAGCCCTGCCCCAGCTGCACCTGCCACCATCCTTCCAGTGGAGAGCTCTTGTTTACTGAAGAATGCCAGTTAATAAATACGGAAAGAATGATAAAATTAGGCAACCATCATTCTTCAACCCTCAGTGCATTCCCTGATTTAGACAAGGATCATCAAGGAATGATCAAACTGCTGAGTGAAAGATATTTATAGGTCTTTAAAGTATTACCTCATAGATTACTTATTAATAAGAAGGAAAAAGATGTTCACCAGTGGGCACCACCTTAAGGAATTAAACATCATCACCAATAATGGGACAACTTAACGTGCCTCTAGGCATGCCACAATAAGAAGTATGAAACACTGCCTACAAACTATTGTTTATTGTACTAAAGTTTAATCTGAATGTAATTATGGCAAACACTAAGACAAATCTGAAACTTGGCCAATTCTACAAGC